GGGGAGGGTTGACATGTCGTGGGGTTGTTAACCAATGTCATAAAACAATATGTGTACTGACTGTTTAATGAGAAACTATTTGTTCTGTAAACCTTCACCTAAAATACAATTAAAAAAAAAACTTTTGTACTTTAAAGGACACTATCAAGAAAATGAAATGACAACATGTGGAATGGGAGAAAATATTTGCAAATCATGTATCTGATAAGGAACTAGTATCCAGAATATATAAAGAACTCTTACAACTCAATAATAAAAAGACAAATAATCCATCTGAAAAATGAGCTAAGGGTTTGAATTAACATCTCTCCAAAGATATACAAATGGCCAATAAGCACATGAAAAGATGCTCAACATTATTAGCCAATAGTGAAATGCAAATCAAAACCACAGTGAGATACTACTTCAAACCCCTAGCATGCTATAATGAAAAAGAGGATGTGGAGAAACTTTATAACACTTTGTACACTGCTGGTGGGAATGTAAAATCCTGCAGTCTCTTTAGAAAATAGTTTAGCAGTTACTCATATGATAAGATTCAGCAATTCCACTCGTAGCTATATACCCAAGAGAAATAAAAACATGCTACACAAAAACCTTTACATGAATGTTCATAGCAGCATTATTCATAATAGCCAAAAAGTAGAAACCACTCAAATGTCCAACTGATGAATGGATAAGCAAAATGAATAGATACCCATAGAGTGGAATATTATTCAACCATAAAAAGGAGTCAAGTACTGACACATGCTATATAACACAGATGAACCTTGAAAACATAATGCCCAGTGAAAGAAACCAGTCACAAAAGAGTACATATTACACAACTCCCTTTACATAAAATGTCCAGAATATGCAAATCCATAAACACAGAAAGTAGATTAGTAGTGGCCAGGGGCTGGGGAAGGGGGCTGTGGTAAGTGACTGCCAGTGGTTATGGGGTTTCTTTTTGGGGTGATGAAAATGTTTTGGAATTAGATTGTAGGACTTTGTGTCTATGGAAACCCTGGTGGCATAGTGGTTAAGCCCTACGGCTGCTAACCAAAAGGTCAGCAGTTTGAATCTACCAGGCACTCCTTGGAAACTCTATGGCGCAATTCTACTCTGTCCTATAGGGTCGCTATGAGTCGGAATCAACTCGATGGGTTTTTTTTTTTTGTCTATACTTGTTGTTGCTAGCTGCCACTGAGTCGGCCCTGACTCATAGTGACCCCATGCAGAAGGGACCATTGTGCTCTAGTTTTCACTGGATGTTTCTGGAAGTAGATTGCCAGGCCTTTCTCCCTACTCCGTCTTAGTCTGGAAACTGCTCAAACCTGTTCAGCATCGTAGCAACAGGCTGGCCTCCACTGACAAGACAGTGGTGGCTGCGCTAGAGGTCCACTGGTGGAAATCGAACCTGGGTCTCCTACATGGAAAGCAAGAATTCTACCACTGAACCACCACTGCCCCCGTGTAACTATATTAAAACTACTGAAGTGTATACTTTAAGAGTGAGTTTTATGTTATATGAATTATATTTAAAACAAAACAAAAACACTCTATTAACTGGGATCTTACATATATCATGTTTTACATCTGGCCTGGTCGTTTTTCATTGAGAACATTTTCCTATGTCAATATTCTTAGAAAAAAAGTGATTTTTTTTTTAAGGCAGCCATTATTTAACGAATCCTCTACTACTAGATATTTATCTGTACTGATGATTATCATTTTGGGATAAAATCTTTCAAGTAAAATTATTAAATTATTGATTCAACGGGTAGGGACACTGTTAAAAATTAACTTTTCATAGAAAGACAGTATAATTTGTATTTGATTATTAATACTAATAGTGTATTTAAACTTTTTTTTCCTTACAGTTTGTAGGCAATCTGCATATTTTTTGTAAATTATTTCGGGCTTTCTCACCTACTCTTAAGAGTCTTTGTCCCTTTGCACACCAGTCAGTGCTAAATCTGTTCACATACTATGTACTTTACGTGTTTCTTCAAGTAGAGGGATCTTTCTTTCTCTTGTCATTTTAATCTAAATTGTAAGAGTGTAAACTCTGGGAATTTACAGATGTGCCCACATAGAAACTGTAAGAAAGCAGAGCAGGACTAGCCTGGTTGCTCCACTCAGAGTGGACAATAGTTTATGGGAACAGATCAGAAGAGCTTGATCAAGTGCAGGCATCTGTGTGCCGAAGTCTGCGGATATGCGCACCCTTCTTTACTCTGAAGCAAGGGCCTGGAAGAGGACTACTGAAGCCAAGAGACAGATGAAGAAGGATAACAATCCCTGCTGTGCCAATCTCACTGGGTGGTTATTACTACTACTTGTTGTCGTCAAATCGATTCCAACTCATAGCGCCCCTCTAGGGACCCTATAGGACAGACCAGAACTGCCCCACTAGGGTTTCCAAGGAGTGGCTGATGGATTTGAACTGCCGACCTTTTGGTTAGCAACCGAGCACTTAACCACTCTGCCACCAGGGCTCCTCACTGAGTGCTTATTAGGTTCAAATGGGAGGCCTTATAATGCAGTAAGTGGTAAAGAGGATGGACTCTCTTGCAAGACTAAAGGGATCTGAAGACTGGCTCCACCTCTTGCTACTATGTTGCAACTTGCAACTATGTGGCCCTTCAACAAGTAACCTTGCCTTAGTTTTCTCATCTACAAACCATCAAGATAATCACAGTACTTACTTCATAAAATTGTTGTGAATATTGAGTTAATACATTTAAAGTGCTTAAAGCAGAGCCCAGCACATTAAAACGCTAATAACTGTTAGCTGTTATTATTAATAACTTTCTAAACTTCAGTTTTCTTTCCTGTAGAATGGGGATTATAATAGTACCTACCCACTATATAGTGTTGGCACATGGTTATCATTAAAAGCATGCTGGCTATTACTACATTACTAATGGATAACAAAGAGATTGGAAAATTCTAAAGAGTTATACACAGATATTATTATAATTAGTTTAATTACCTCCAGAGAAGAGGCAATGTTTCCTGGGGGCAAGAGCCAGAGACTGAGTTCAGAAAGACAGGGACTCACTGGGTGACCCTGAGCAGATCACTCAGGCTTTCTGGGCCGCTAGTCTCCCCTCTATCAGTTAGAACTCCTACGTTCTGCCCACCCTACCCCGGAGGTCACTATTAGAATTAGATATGAAGATGCTCTATAACGCTATAAATTAGACAAGCTTGTTCTTTGCTGAAAGATGATCTGATTCCTTTAAATAAATTATTATTTTTTTTTTTTTTGGTTTTAACAAAGAGACCTTATAGTAAAGTAGGCTAGAAGTCCAAATTCAGGGCATCAGCTCCAGTGGAAGGCTTTCTCTCTCTGTTGGCCTTCTCATCAATCCTCCCCGGGACTAGGAGCTTCTCCGCATAGGGACCCTGGGTCCAAAGGACACGCTCTGCTCCTGGCACTCCTTTCTTGGTGGTATGAGGTCCCCCTGCCTCTCTGCTCACTTCTCTCTTCTATATCTCAAGAGATTGCCTCAGGACACAATCCAATCTTGTAGACTGAGTCCTGCCTTATTAATACAACTGCCACCCATCCTCCCTCATAAACATCACAGAGGCAGGATTTACAACATATAGGAAAATCACACAATACCAGGAATCATGGCCCAACCAAACTGATACACACATTTTTGGGGGACATAATTCAATCCATGACATTCTACCCTTTGGCCCCAAAAAAATCACATCCTTGCAACATGGAGAACATATTCACCCCATCATAATGTAGCAAAAGTCTTAACTCCAAGTCCAAAATCTGAAACTTCCTCTTCATCTGTGAAATCTAGAATACAGGTTATCTGCTTCCAAAGGTACAATGGCAGAACAGGCACAAGCTAGACATTTCCATTACAAATGGGAGAAACTGGAGGGAGAGAAGGGATAACAGGCATCAAGCAAGTCAGCAGAACACATTACGTTAGCCCTCAAGGCTTTGAAAATAATCTTCTGCCCTCTGAGACAATTTACACAATGGCCCTGCCGACCTCCAGACTCTAGTAGGTATTGGCCACACTTCGCAGACTCTGAGTGGAGGCCCCGAGGCCCTGGGCTTCAGCTCTGCCTTCCAGGCCCACTGGGACAGCAACTCTGCTCCCTTGACTTTAGGCACACCATTCTTCCAGTCCATCTGAGTGGCGACTCCACCCTTAGAAACACCAGCGGCCATGGCTCCACCTTTTGAAACCTCTGAGGTCATGGCCATACCTTTTGAGACTGAGGCAGATCGGCTTCTTGTGTCCCTTGTCTCTTCAGCTCGTTTCCTGGTTTCTTAGTCTCTCGGCTCCTGGGGCCTCACGCCTGCATCTGCCCTGCTGGGGCAAGTGTTCCAAAGCTTGGTAGCTCCACCAATAAGTGCCCAGAGGCACCCAACTCCACCAGAAAGCCTCATGCACACAGGCATTCAGCTCTCTCGCTCCATAGGTTGGCTCCAGCGCCGTCTTGCATTGGTCTCCTATTTCTGCTGATGTTAGTTCTCTGCCACTGCTGCTCCTCTGCCGCTGCAGGTTCTCTGCCACTGCTGCTTCTCTGCTGTTGCAGGTTCTCTGCTGCTGCTAGTCCTTTGCTCTATCCACTCGCAGTTTCAAAACCACTTCCACATTTTAGGTATCTGTTAGAGCAGTACCCCACTCTCTCAGTACCAAATTCTGTCTTAGTTATCAGTGCTGCTATAACAGAAATACCACAAGTGGATGGTTTTAACAAAGAGAAGCTTATTTCCTTACAGTAAAGTAGGCTAAAAGTCCAAATTCAGGGTGTCAGCTCCAGGGGAAGGCTTTCTCTCTGTTGGCCTTCTTATCAATCTTCCCCTGGACTAGGAGCTTCTCCACGCAGGGACACGTTCTTCTCCTGGCACTACTTTCTTGGTGGTATGAGGTACTCCCAACCCTCCCCCCCTTTTTTTTTTAAACAGATCTATTACTTTTTCATGATAAGAATAATCCTTAAAAAAGATTTAGGTTTCAAACTCTTTGTCTTTTTATACCTTAAAAAAAGTTTTGTTTTAGTTACTTAGAAATCAATAATGTCTGATTTTATAAGATAGCTGTTTAAATTTTACTTCCTAAAAACTTAATATATACTCAGACATGATGTTGAACACTAAGAAAAATTATTTTTCGTATTTTTTTCAAATCTTCGAGAATCGTTTAGAAACCATCATTATCTCTTGTGCAAAAACATTTGTTGGCAGGTTAGTACTTCTTTCAGTTTGACTTTCCTTTCTTTTTCCTCTGTTATAACTTCAATAAAAATTACAATAAATGCTTTTAATTAAAAAAACTAATGACAGTTACTACTGTGTCGTAGGATTAGGGGTGATTATCAGTTTCTTTATCATATTTTACTGTATGTTCCAAATTTTCAATCATAACTATTATGTTAAAAACAGAAAAACATTTTTAAAATAAACTGCAAGACTGAAAAAAAATTTTAAATACGAAATACAAAAATGAATTTTATAAACTGTCATCCTAGGGTAGAACGTCCCAGGTCTAGGAAGTGATACCCTTCCCCGGCCCCGTCTCAGTGTGAGTTGCTCCTCTCCCCTCAATCTGCCCTTAGACCTGTGTGGCCACAAATGACACATCTTACTGTAATTATGCATCTGGCTCCCTCACTAGAATGTAAGTTCCTCCAGGGCGGGGTAGAATTCACCATGTATTCCTTCAGCATCTACCAGTGCCAGCCATAAAGCAGTCAGTCAGTAATGGGTTACAGAGGAATGAAGGAATGGACTCCTTTCTTACCTTCCAATGCATCATCTCCAACTTCTTCATATGTCTGCCAAGAGACCAGAAATCCATGATCAAGATGGCTTATTTTTAACAAGAGGAACTTGGTTTTCTGAAGCCCAAGCCTGCCTCCTTATCAAGCCTATCCTGGAGAATGACCCATGTCCCCAGAGGATAGCATAATCCAAGAGGGGCATACTTCCAAATCACGGTACCTGCATGGTGCTCTGCGTGTAGCCATATTGGGGGTAACTGTAGCTGTAACTGCCTGTGTTCTGGTCATAACCCCACTGAGCATAGTAGTTCTGGTACTGCTGGTAATACTGGTTGTAGCTGTAACTGTACATCTGGCTATATTCCACTGGCTTCACACGGCTCCTTATATGAAGAAACAAAAATTAAATAAGCAAACGTTTACATAGCACTTACTATGTGGCCAGGACAATGCTTTATGCAGATTAACTCATTTAATCCTCAAAACAACTCTATGTGATAAGTATACCACTATTCCTATTTACATAGAGGTTAAGTAATTTGTCCAAAGTCACACAGCTAATAAGAAAATCAAAGCCAGGCAGCCTGCCTCCATGCTTTTAAGACAGGAGCTTCTAATTTTAGGCTTTTTTCTCTTATCAAACCTTACCAGGATTAATTTTCCCTCTTTTGAACGGATTCCGGGGGGCTATTTTTTTCCAGACCCAAAGACTCAGGTAAACACTCCCTGGATAACCTGGATTTAAGATTATTTCGGACTACAAGGTATCTAATCACCCTGCAAGACAGACCTTCCAGTAGCCTTACTGTCATCATTGTAGTCATAGCCACCATTTATTGCATAGTTAACTCAGGATTTGTGCCAATCATTTTCATACATGGTCTCCTATTCTAAGTCCTGCACAACCCTATGATAGACTTATCTATTATTCCTTTTACACAGATGAGCATACCAAGCCTCTAAAAGGTTAAGTGATTTGCGCAAGGCCACACAGCTACCAAGTCACAGAGGTAGGACTGGAGCCAGACAGAACTCCAAGGCTCACGCTCTTAATACACCATTATGTACAGCACCTGTTGTGACAGACTCAAGATATATCTTGTCAGTCTCTTACACCTGCATTCACCATCGGGGCTGAGGCCCAGGGTTAGTGGGAAGCTTTCTTCTCCTCAATGCACGGCTGCCCCATCTGCTGCTAATTAAAGGCAGAATGTCATGTCTGCAAAGGATCCATTGCTTTCAAAAGCATAAAAACCACATGTGAATAGGCTTATAAAACAGGCCTGGAGTATGACAAGAAAGCCTAGCTGCGAGGAATCAAAAGAATATAACCCAAGCTCAGACCACCACAATGTGTCTCCTGAGGTGTTGTACTTGGAAGGGCCAGGCAGTCTCTTGCAGGTGCACAGCAAACAGTCACAGGAGACAGAGGCTGACACCACCACGAAGCCAGATTTTTCATTTAAAAGGAGGGTCATAACTGTCACATGGTGTGGAAGTGTTCTCATGATTGGTGCAATGGCTACAGTCAAGCTAGACAGAAAACCAAATCATAAGTGGGAACTGAACTACCACAGAAATCCTTGTCACAGGAACTACCAATGCTCAAAGTCTGAATGAGTTCTCCCTAAGGTCAAGTTCCTTGGAAGTTAAATATGTCTGTGAGCAGGACTCAGCCAGAGTAGTTAAATGGACACAACGTTTGATGGCCTCAGACAGCCTGATGCAGTCACCTTCTGACAGGAAGTCCACTGGCTCTGACGCCCTTTCCCCTGCCCAGCCCTGGGTTGGGCACTGCTGGTATCTGCCTCCATGACTTCCCTTCCGTGCTTCCAAGCATGTCCAGTCCCCTCCTCACTGGCATGTTCAGGCAAATTCTCACTGGTCTGGGTCTGGCTTTGTTTCCTTCAGGCAACTTTGGACATTTCTGTTCTGTTCCTCCACATGCGGCTCTCACAGTCTAACTCTCAAAGGGAACTCTCTTATCTCCCGCACTTCCTAGTGATTAAGGGCACCTCCTCGAAGGCAGGCACCAAATACTGACAATATTCAATGAAGAAATAAATATAACAGAATATAAGCTCCTTGCAGGGGGACTTGTTTCTCTTGTTCACAGCTGCATCTCCAAAGATGATCAGGGCCTGTAGTGTTGTAGGGACTCAGTAATTGCTTTCTGAATAAATAGTAACAAATCAGAAACAGCCAAAATGGTCAACTTCAAAGCAATTGCTAGACAGAACATACACACAAAAGAATATTCTGCAGCTGTTAAAAATTATGATGATTATTGCACAACTATATGGAAAAGTGCATACACTGAGTTAACTGCAGGGAATAAAAAAGAATGAGCATAGCTCTGTAATTAAACATGAATAAATAAATAAATTCTCGACATATAAATTGACGCATATGTAGTAAATACATAAAAATCAAGGGTGCATACGGAGAAGCCTAGAAGGGAATCCAGAAACTATAAACCAGAAATTATAATCATATATTTTAGGGTGATGAAATTATGAAGAATAATTTCCTTCTTTTAAATACTTAGTTTGAAGTTTTTATATAATAGAGTTTATAAAAAATAATGTTTTGGGGGAAAATTATTCAGCCTAATCTATGTATTAATACAGTTAAAAAACAAAGACCCTCCAGATCCTTTGTTGCTTTAAAAAACATGGCCACTTGGACACTCTGCTACAGGAGTTCAGCTATTCTTGTACTTATGGTACAGAGTTTCTCAGTCCCAGTGCTACTGACATTTTGGGGGTGAGGGGGCAGATAATTCTTTGTTGTGGAGGCCTGCTCTATGCATCCTAAGAGTTTAGCCACATCCCTGGCGTCTACTCACTAGATGCCAGCTGTGACAACCAAAAATGTCTCCAGACATTGCCAAATGTCCTCTGGGGGACAAAACTGCCCCTAGTTGAGAAGCACTCGTTTGCAGAAGAACCACTTCTATGCAGAGAAATGCTGTCTTACATCTGAGTGGGAAACCTACTTGGAGTCGTAAGGGAAGAAGGGTTATCTGCCTAGCACGACAGATGTAATAATGACTTATATTCCATTTCCATAGCAAAAGACATTCAAAAAGTTTGTAGGTCTCACTAGTATAAAATAATGCTGAGACTGGATATAATTTTTTTCCTTCTGCTCAATTCTTATTAATTTTATGGATAAATTCCCAACAGTGACACTACCAGACAAAGAGCAGGAACATTAGCTTTGTATTGCCGAGCTGCTTTCCCAATAATTACTTTTCAGTGCTACAGCAATGTCTGAGTGCTGCCACTTCTGCCAATCACAGCTCTCTCTAGCTATAAGCTTCTAGGGGGCGGGGTCATGCTTATTAGTTCATCTCCAACCCAGACACACAACCTGGCAACCTGGCAAATAATAGGCATTCAGCATTTATGACTTGAACTGAATCTCCCGCAGCCTCCCATCCAGCATTCCCTAAGTGGATGCCCTAATGATCAGCAAACAGATGAGGAGTATCCGGGTGGGGTCAGTCCAGAGACCCTCTGCTTTCCCTCCCAGCCCAGGACTCACGCTTTGGGGATTGCCACGCTCAGCCGCACTGGTTTAGACCCCAGTCCTACTGCTCCCTGGCACTCTGTCAGGGCTCGCTTCTGTTCCAGTTCATCTGTGAATTTCACAAATCCATAGCCCCTGCAGGAAAAAAGCAAACCAAAAAAAAAACCACCATTTAGATCACAATTGTGATTAAGGGGAGGAATGCTGAAAGGAGAAGGTACTGAGAAGGAAGAGAGAGAGACCGTCAAACTACTTGAGAAGAGACTAGCCCCATCAGTGGGGGTGAGCCACCGAGCAGCATTGGGATTCAAGCATTTGACGACCATGAAATCCGCAGGTATTCCCACTTAGATTCACCATTCTCCTTGACAGCTTCACTGATGGGCTCTTATCTCTTCCCAAACAGTAGCTTCCTGCCCAATCTACTTGAAGAATAACTATTATTATTATTATTATCGTAGCGGTAATAGTAATAGTTATAGAAGTCCATTCAGCAAATATTCACAGAGTCTGCCCTGAATGTCAGGTACTGTACTCGGCACTGGCATCCAGCAGTCACAAGACAGACAAGGCTCCTCTTTCTTGAACTCATATTCTAGTTGGGGGATAAATGAATGACAGCCAACATTTAACGAGCACTCATATCCCAAGTGCTAAGCATTTTACCAGGGTGGTCTCATTGAACTGTCTAACAATTCGATGAAGGTGGTATCCGCTTTTTGCTAAAGAGGGAACCAAAGTTCAGAGAGGTTTAATACTATGCCCAAAATCAATGGTAGAAGCAGGATTCAAATCCAGGTCTGTCAGATTCCCAAAGCCTGAACTTATAATTAGTATCTGATCAAGAATGACCTTCTTGAGGTTTTTCCATTTCTGAAGAGAAAACTTCTAACTACTCTAAAAGGCTCAATAAAATAGCAAGTACCTATAAACCATTTCCTATGTGCTGTACTTAATTACATCATTTACTCCTTACACTAACCCTATGAACAGATACTATTAATTGGCTCTTGTGATGCAGTGAATTGCATTAACATAGCCCTTCTAGTCATGGTCTTGTAACTCCCACAAAATGATTGGATGGTACAATGCACATGAGGTTCTTGTGGCCCACCAAGGGGATTGGATGGTTTTGCTAATGCAGATAAGGTGCATGGAACCCTTGTAGGGAATTGGTCAGTTTTGCCATCCCACTAGGCTTAAAGGGAGCCAATCCCAGAGGTTGTGGGGTGGAGGGAACCTCACTATCATCAAGAAGAGCCAGGAGCAGAGCATGTCCTTTGGACCCGGAGTCCCTGCACTGAGAAGCTCCTAGACCCAGAAGATAGAGAGCTGTAACACCAAAGATGGTGCAAGATGGTGAGAAGTGGTGGCAAGCACGTCAGAGTTCAGCAGCAGAGAAATGGCAGGAGCAGAACCAGGAGACTGGCGCAAGATGGCGCAGTGGGCTCCTTGGGAGAGAATTGAGTGCCTTTAGGCAGGAGGCTTCTTGGTAGAGTGGGGTGCCTCCGGGCACTCATCAGAGGAGCTAAAGAGCTTTGAAACTCTTGCCCGAGCAGGGCAGAGGCCAGGCCAAGAGCCAGGGCCGAGACAGAGACCTGCCTGCAGGCATGGCCTAGAAGAAGCTGCTCTGATTGAAGAACTGTATCCCTGAGTTGTTCCCGTTACTTCCAAGTTGGTCTGATTCTGTACTGTAACCTGTTACTTCCCTGATAAACCTCATAATTGTGAGTATGGTCTGTGAGTTGTGTGGCCACTGCAATCAATTTCAAACTCTGCAGAGAAGTACAGAGTGCCGTGGGAGGTACAGCTGGTGTAGGAATTGGTAAAAAGGTTGGACAGTGGAGGTATATCTGACCTCAACCTCACAGGAAATCAGCTTTGCACTGATGCTGATCTTGATTCTCCTCCCCACTCATGAAGTTAAGAGGTCTGACACCACAACATTTTTACAGTCCTGTTTTATAGATAAGGAAATAAGGTCAGAGAGGTTAAGTAACTTCTCAACTTGTCTACTGTATTACCCTCTAGCTGGTATTGGAGCTGGGATTCAAACCAAACAGTTTGGATCCAGAGCCTGTGCTCTAAACCACCATGCTACATGGCCTCTCCACAACACCTCCATCAATGAGAGAAGGATGCTGAGACTAACAAGGTAGGCAACAATAACAGGTAAGGCCTTACTTAGACACGCCTGTCTGGTCCAAAACCACCTTGCCTCCCCGACAGGAGGGGTAGACTTTGACGAAGAATTCATACAGCATGCCATCGTCCACATCTGGGGTCAGGTCCCCCACAAAGAGGGAGTATTCCGGGCTGCAAGGAAAGAACAATAAGATTTAGAGACAAAGACTCAAATCTCTGCTGTAAAGAACTCTTTCAGCTCATTCCAGGTAAACCTCTTCTGAGCCCTCTTAGAGAATGACACATGTGCTGGGTCCTTAACCAGGTTCTAATTTGTATTATTACAGCAGTCCTGGCAGAAGAATTATGGAAGTAGTCCCTGTTCCAAACCCTTCACCTACTGTAAAGTCTGTTTAGCTTCAAGTGAGTGCAGGTGGGTGAAAGATTCTGTTATCACAGATGAGGGAATGGGGTCAGAGGTGCATCTCTGAGAAAAACTAGACAATCTGTATTCATCATATATTTTTAATTCAAATGTTGAAAGACAGAGAAAATGAGAACTGGGCCCTATCTCCTAAAGACCTAAAGCCTAGCTACAATGACATTCCAAATTTCTAGAACAGAGGTCAGCAAATTTTTTCTGCACAGGACCAGGCAGTAAGTACTTCCGTATAGGACCAGGTTTTGTGGGAGACATATGGTCTCTGCTGCATATTCTTTGCATGTTTGTTTTTATAACCTTTTAAAAACTAAAAATGTGGACGACACAAATCAGGCTATAGTTTGCCAACCTCCGTTCTAAGAGATCAATTTTTTTCAAAAAACAAACTAACTTTTGTTATTATTTTAAGTATGATACATATTCTTTAAATAAAACTAGAATACCAAAAAGCACAAAGAAAAATAGTAAGCAAAAACCCTACCAAACAAAGGTAATAACTGTAAACATTTGATACATGCTGTTGTCTTTAATCTACGGTTCTTCTGTTGAATTTAAAAAAATCGATATGATTCCTTGCACTTTTGTTTTTAGCATTTTTTCACTTTTAACACACTACAAATATCCTGACATGTCAGTATGCTGATACAGCAGAACTTGTCAATGGATATACACCATTCCATCTAGTGAACATATTGTAATTTATTTTAACTATTCCCCTTATTATTATCTTGGATTTCCCTCAATTTTGTTCACTATAAAGTAACATTTTATTGAATACTTTTTGTGGCTGATCTTTGCATACATCCATGAATAAATTCTGAGAAGCAGAATTAGAGGGTCAATGAGCACAAACCTTTTTAAAGCTTTTGATACATAGTGCCAAACAGCTCCTTGCAATGCTGAATCACTTATATTGCTTGAGCGGGTCAACTCTACCAGATAAAACCTCTATACTGCAGGAAGTGACAGCGTGGAAGGCTCGAGTAAGGACCGAGAAAGAGAAGACAGGGCCTTGACGTGGAAGTGGGCCAGGAAAGCCTACCCACTGGGACATGGGAGGGTGTATTCCTTTAGGAAGGAGGCAAGGTAGAGTCAAACTCAGCTCCCATCCTCCTCCCTGGTAGAGATAGGCACAGTGACTTATCTTGTGTCTGCCTAGTCACATCCTGGAGCTTGAAGCTACCGTGGGGCTACTTTGCACTTACCTATTATCTGGCTGTTTCCCGTAAGTGGCATAGTTCAGTTTAAAACGTTTTGCCTGGAAATTTAAAAACAAACAAACTAAAACAGAGAAAAGTGTTTCAAGAGTCAAACAATATTTGAAAAAAACTGAAATAAATTACCTTGGCCAAAACATCTCCCCCTCTCTAAGCCTCAGCTTTTTCTCCTGTTTAAAATGAGGGGGTTGCACGGATGACCGCTAAGGGCACTGCCAGCTCCATGATTCTATGAGCCCGGTGTGCCAGCCTGGTGCAGCGGTAAGCTAAGTAACTGTGGGAAGAGCAGAATGTAACTCTCTTGAAACGTGTCCTCACTGCTGCCAGCCTGTTCTAGTTTTTCAAACGGGCAAGAGATCTAGGTTTTCAAGTCTTCCATTAAGGGAGGCAGTGATACAGAGTGGAAAGGGCATGGACTTTGGAGGCAAACAATCTTCAGTTTGAATTCTGGCTCTGCCACTTACTACCTGTGTGGCCTTGGGCAAGTTATTTCACTTCCCTGACCTGTCAAATAAAGACAACAATGCCTACTGTACAGACTGTTATAAGATCACATAAAATGGTATAAATATACAGTAGGTATTCAATAGATGGCAGTTACTAATGACAATAAAAACGGCAACATCATCATTATCTAAATATCCTTACAGGTGTGGCTCCTGGAAGGGGTTTCCCATTAATTTTATGCAAACACTTCTCGGCTGTAGCCAAATCTGCAAATTCTACAAAGCAGTAGCCAGCTGGGATCCTAGAAAGAAAGCAAACAGAAAAAAAAAGAATGGTTAAAGATACCCGGATGACAGACTGAGTCTTAGCCTGAAGGGAAGGAAACATGGTATTCTAATAAGAGCCCTTATTTTTGTTATCTGCCAAATTCCAGGTCAGGACTAACTTACAAACCTGAGTATAAGGACTGACAATCTGGGCCAGCCCCAGACTCATTCAGCAAACATTTATTGATGTACTGCATCACCTATGGAGTACTCTTATGAAAAATGTTTAATGCTATCCAATCAAGCCTTTAGACCTAACTTCCAGCTTATAGAAAATGTTAGGGATGGAAGAACAAGTTAAACTTCACCATGAGGAAATAAGCAAATCCAGAATGTATGACCTTATGTAGGACAACTAGCCCCCTTTCCTTTCAAAAAGTCAATGCTATGAGAAAAAGAAGAGGGGAGCTTTTCTACATTAAAAAAGACTTAAAAGACAGAAGAACTAAACGGGCAGCCCCTGTCCAGAGGTGAGATGAGAAGGCAGAGAGGGTTAGGAGCTGGTTGAATGGACATGGGAAATCAGGGGTGGAAAGGAGTGTGCTGTCACAGCATAGGGAGAACAATTAGGGTCACATAACAATGTATGTATGAATTTTTGTATGAGAGACTAACCTGAATTGTAAACTTTCACTTAAAGTACAACAGTAAAATAAATATATATATATATTTTTAAAAAAGATCATCTTATATTTCTGTATGTTGCAAATGGTCCTCATAAATTCTGCTTCCACATTCCGTTCCTGGGATGGACTTCTATTCCGATGGCAGACGTCAGAAAACAGTGCTCCAAGGCCGCTCCCAGCTTCAAGTCTCAATGCAAGAAACCCCAGTTATAAGCCAAAAGTTCATTGTTTCCCCACCCCCCAATCCACAGCCCTGTCTCATAGTCTCTATTCCCAGAGTGGGTTTCCTTCTCCAAACTATTTATTTCCAGAAATTCTCATGAGACTAATGACAAAAAAAAACGACATTTGTCTAAAAGAGCTCAGACTGGAGAAAATGGAAAGCCCCTGAAGGGACAGTTGTATGAACTTGGGAAAGGGAATTTTAAATCCCAGCTGTAAATCAGAGCAAAAGATCATTGTTAGAATCAGACAGGAGACAAGTTCAACTGCAGTTGATCTATGCAAGGCCTAGATACTTGCAGAAACACACACACACACACACACACACACACACACACAGAAATAAATAGAGCATATACTTCTATTTGCTTAAACTTATAGAAGAATTCTCTCTTTTCAGATTTCCTTTGTCTATCATTAACACAGAGTGCTGCTGGCCAACTGGTTAAGAGCTCAGGCTGCTAACCAAAAGGTCAGCAGTTCGAATCCACCAGCTGCTCCTTGGAAACCCTATGGGGTAGTTCTACTCTGTCCTATAGGGT